AATTTTGAAGAGGCTGCCCTGAGTACTAATTATATTCTTAATAGTAGAGAATTATTTTAACATTCAGGTACCCTCATGGCACAGTGGTAAAGAATTCTCCTGCCAATGCAGGAGACATGGGTTTGATTTCTGGGTTGGGAAGACCCCTTGGAGAAGGAAATGGCAAGCCACTCCAGTATTAGTATTCTTGTTTGGGAAATCCCATGGACAGAGTAGTCTGGTGGGCGATAGTCCTTGGGGTCGCAAAGAGTTGGACACAACATAGCAACTAAACAACAAAAATGACATTATTTTGTGTATATTTGAAAATTATTAATTTTTAAAGACACATTGAAATACTAGGGCTTCCCTGGTAGCTCAGACAGTAAAGAATCTGCCTGCAATGCAGGAGTCAGGGGTTCAATTCCTAGGATGGGAAGGTCCCCTGGGGAAGGGAACAGCTAACCACACCAGTATTCTTGCCTGCAGAATTCCATGGACAGAGGAGCATTGAAATGTTTAAAGATAAAATGATGTATCTATCTCCCATATGCTCCTATATCCTAACTAATATGAGATGGGAAATGGGTGGAAATAGATATGAAACATGATTAGTCACTACTTGATAATTATTGAAACTGAATGAGGTATGTGTGTGTGCTCAGTTATGTCTGACTCTTTGTGATCCCATCACCATAGCCCACCAGGCTCTTCTGTCCATGGGATTTTCCAGGCAAGAATACTGGACTGAGTTGCCATTTCCTACTCCAGCGGATCTGCCCAACTCAGGGATCGAATTCACATGTCTTGTGTCTCCTACATTGGCAAGTGGATTCTTCACTACTAGTACCACCTGGGATGAGGTACATGATAATTAATTTATGTTTGTTTAAAATTTTCTATCATAAACTTATTGAGTTTTCCTATCCAAGAAGGTATTGTCTTTTCATTTACTTAAATACACTGTTTTAATCTTAGGGAAATTTGAAAGTTTCTTTTATTTTTAAATTTAATTCTAAGGATTTTATCTTTTTTTGTTTCTACTCTAACTGGGATCTTTCCTGCCATATTTTTCTAACTGGCTATTGTTTGCAAATAGGAAAAGTATTTGTGTGCAATATTATTAAAGGGAGCCACCCACATTTTTCCATGTATATAATTGCTATAAACTGAATGTTTGTGTTTGTGCACCCCCCCTCCCCATTCAACTATAGAAACTAAACCCCAGTGTGATGGTATTATGAGGTGGGACTTTAGGAGGTGATTAAATCTTGAGGCTAGAATCCTTTGGAGTGGGGTTGAAAGTGAAAAGTGAAAGTGAAAGTTGCTCAATTGTGTCCTTCTTTTTGTGACCATGGAATTCTCTAGGCCAGAATACTGGAGTTGGTATCCTTTCACTTCTCTAGGGTATCTTCCCAAACCAGCGATTGAACCCAGGTCTCCCACATTGCAGGCAGATTTTTTGCCAGCTGAGCCACAAGGGAAGCCCAAGTATACTTAAGTGGGTAGCCTAGCCCTTATCCAGGGGATATTCTCGACCCAGGAATTGAACTGGGGTCTCCTGCACTGCAGGTGGATTCTTTACCAACTGAGCTATCAGGGAAGCCTTAACACCCTTTAAAAGAGACTGTAGAGAGTTCCCTTATCCCTCCCACTCTGTGTTAAGACAGGACGGCTGTCTATGAACCAGAAATCAGGCTCTTTCCAGACATCAAATCTGCCAGTGCTTTGACCTTGGACTTCCCAGTCTCCAGAACTGTGAGAAATAAATTGTTTTGAGTTAGTCAGTCTATGATATTTTGTTAGAATTCTAAATTAATACAATAGCTACATAATTAGAAAATAATCAGAAAGTTGCTTCTTTATTTTCTTCTCCCAACTTACATCTCTATTTTATTTTCGTGCACTAGCTGTTAACTCCAGAGCAATGCTCTATAACAGGTAATGGGTACGCTTGTCTCATTCTCAGTTTTACTGGTAATAATTCTAAGTCTTGAACTAATTTATTGTTTGGAATCTATTTTTGATCATGTGAGAAGTATTAATGTGTCCTTATGCCTTTAAGTTTTTGTTATGCTTTGCTTTGCTCAGAAATATATTTTTAAAAGGCAATATATTACTCATTACAGACATATGTAACATATATTTCCACTTAAATTCATTTAAAACTTAGAGCCAATATCCAAATATGCGATATTTTAAGACTCAATAGGAAATATATTTATCCTTCAAAACTCATGAAGTATAATAATTAGATTCTTAGAAATAAAAACATTGCAGCAGCTTTTTATTAATAGTTACAAACCAAATTTATTCTTTACCAATATCTCTACATGAAAAACCTTCATGTAATAAATTTTTAGTCCCCAGAAGATAGAAATAAATGGAACCATAACACTATAGCAAAAGGAAAAAAAGATATGCATACTTTGGTTCATTAAATGAGACTTGTCCTGTTAACAGCCTACTTTTAACATAGGACTAATCTTTTATATTCAAATATTATAGTGTTTCATACAATCTAACAATGTTATGTACACTAAGTTGTAATTTCAATACACTTACTCTATTAATAAATGTGCAGAGAACTGGATCGATTTTCCACTCAACAAATTTTTTTCTAATAGATGAGGAGAGAGAAATAAGTATGGATTAAACAACAACAAGGGATATTTGTCTTTTGAATTACATTGATGTGTTGTACGAGTTTATTATTTGGCAATGATTTTCCTAATTGCACATTCATGAAGTAATAATGTGAATTATTGGGATATATAAACAATTTTCACTCTACCTAGTATTTTTAAATAGTACCCACCTCTAATCACTAAATTTAAAGTGGGTTTAATTTATTAAGAGAACAAACACGAATTGAGAGCATAATTCTCTTGCCTTAGCTTGGCCTTTTATTTTTCTCTATAAATAGAGGGGTAGGTCCACATTGCCCTCTAGGATATTTTTAAGTTATGAACAGTTACCACTTAAAATCTCTAATAATAGTGACAACTGCATTTGCTAAAAAACTTACAATGACAATCTGGACATTTTTAGTCTATCTCATTTACATTTATAAATATAATAGAAACTGATCTTAAATTTGCCATAATTTTTGGTTTTGCTGCTTCTTTTGTTGATATATTTTTACTATATGGATTTTAAAAGTTTNTCTAGGGTAATGGTGACATCCTGACTGCTCAAAATGGTTCAAAAGAAAATAAAAACGAATATACAGACACATATGTATGTATATTCTAAAAGAGAATGATAAAGCAAATGCTAACCACTAATGGAATCTGAATGAAAGATTTGTGGGAGCTTTTTGTGCTATTCTTAAAACTCTTCTGTAAGTTAGAGGCATTTGTCATGGCCAGCATGGATATGGTTATGGACATTAAAAAAAATAAAATAAGAGTATAAAGAAAATGAAAAAAGCTTTATATGGTAGGATTACAGATCATTTGGGATACTTGGTGGCTGAGACGGTAAAGAATACACCTGCAATGTGGAAGACCGGGGTTCAATCCCTGGGTTGGGAAGAGTCTCTGGAGAAGGAAATGGCAACCCACTCCAGTATTATTGCCTGGAGAATCCCATGGACAGAGGAGCCTGGCAGGCTACAGTCCATGGGGTCGCAAACTGTCAGACACGACTGAGGGATAAGCACGCAGCACAGCTCTAATCTGTGAGATTGCCTTCTGCTTCTACACTCTTGGTGATTCAGTTCCCTTATCCTGAAACACCTCCAATCAGCTGCTTCTTATTATTCCATCAACCTATCTCCCAGCCCCTTTCACTCTTCAAAGTACTGTTAGACATTATCTTCCACTAAGTCTTCTCTTCAAGATACAATTATACAGCCTTTATTCAATACTGTTTATGCCCTATGGCCATACCATAATTATGTTATATACCATAGTAAATTACATTTACGCATCTACCTTCTGTCTCTCCTGATTGTTACCCAATGGCTAACATCGTGCTCAGTAAGTGTGAAGACGATCATTATACTTATTAATATTCATGGATTGCTTGAATTATGCATTCTTCGTAAGGAAATGGTAGTGAATACTACTCACTAAAAGTACACATACTTTTTATTCTTTACATTATGAAAGATTTTTAAAATACCACCTAAGTGAAGAGAACATTATAATGAGTCCCCATTAACCATAACATATTCAATACCCATCAACATTTTCACATACATTTTTAAATCGGTTAGAAAGCTAGTTAGAAAGTCATTGGCCGATTATTCTCCTAGCAGGTTGACCTGCTGTCAACACGGATCCTCTGACTTACATCTAAGGAGAGGAAATAGAGTTCAGTTCTCCAGGATCATAGTTCTGATGAATGTTAACATTAGTAACAGACAAAACACTCTCCGAAGGAGCCATTATGTACAAGCAGTGACAAAGAAGGGAGAAAAATGGGGTTTACTGAAGACTAGAATCAGAAAAACACTTCACAAGGGTCCTAAACGGCCGTGGCACGTTATGGGATTTGTACATGAGAACAATTCCTGCCACTTCTCTCTTAACTCAAGAGAACGTTAAGGTATCTTGTTTACACTTTTACTTTTAACGGCCCTCAGTTTTAGCAGTAGAGAAAACATGTCCCTGCTCCTTTGGATAAATCGCACTGACTGAAGATTGATCAGATACATTTTTCCCAGAAGAAAAGGAGAGGAGTCAGTTTCTTATCCGAGTCCCAAGGTAGCCCTCCCAGTCACCCTCTAGGCCCGCGCTGTGACAAGCGCTCTTCTAAAGGATGCTGTGGGCAGGGAATGGGGGACATTTAAGAACCCGCATCTGGAATCTAGATCCCAGGCAAAAAAGCACGCTTCAAAAGGTAGTAAGAACGAAATAACAAACGCTGAAACCTGGACCTGGTTAGGGACATCACCCCAAAACGCCATCACCTAATAGGCCTCACTCTCCCGTAGGCGAACGGGGAGAGGGAAGAACTACATCTCCCAGAATGCAGAGCGGCGGGGCGGTGCTAAAGAGATGGCCTGTTTTTACCTCATGTTTGCTTAGAAACTCCAGTCCCTCTTCTTAGTACTCCGCCATCCCAGCCTAATTGGCTCTGTAGCCCGTGCGTGGGAGGGCGGCTCAGGCGTCACTGGCAGCGGTTGAATGGGGGCCCTAATCCCCGCCTCCTCACGGGAAATGAAGTCCTTTCTAGTAGCTTCTCTGGCCGAGTCAGAGCAATAGGACTACATTTCCCAGAGGAGCGCGGGTCTGCCAGGCGGCTTGGGGGCGGTGCCTCACGTATGGTACAGTCATCGCAAGCCTCTTCGGCGGGACTGTGATGGCCGGAGAGATGACGATCTTAGGTTAGTAACTAGGCGGGTTCCTTACGCTGTCGCGGGCACCGGAGCGGTTGAGGGAAGTAGGGGTGGGTCGGGGTCGTTATTGTACCTGCTCGATCCTGCTAGCGTGGCGGGAAAGGCGTCAGAAAGGTGACTTTGAGGCGGTTTGGGGCTGTTACCGACGCCGAGTTGGGGGTCGCTTCTAGGAAGGCCCAGGCCGCTGTAGGCCCGACTACGGCGACCGTCTGCGTACATTTCAAGGATGTTGGACCTCAGGAAGTGTTCTTATCCAAGGAATGTCGATTTTTGAATCGTTGGTTGAATCGGGGTCTTTGAGAGACCTCTAGAATATGCATCTCCGAGACCCCTTTGTGAAGGAAGGGGGAGGAGCACTAGCAGCATCCCAACCTGTAGGCTCGTGGGATGCTGGATATTGAGAGATCCAGGGCTCTTTAATGTGTAGTCTAGTGTTTCCGCCAATACGGGTAGGAATTACCCTCTCCGGACGAGAAGGTGATAAAATGTTTCTGGAAATGAGTCTGTAAGAGCGAGTGGACGGTGGGATTGGCGGTTGATTTCATTTCATTACGTTTTGATGAGGATTTTGTTGTTGTTTTTTATTGAGTAATTAATTGTTACTAAGCTAACAATTAGTAAAAGAGACTCCTTTAGATTGGCATTTTGAGTTGTATGTAACCTGGGTGGACACAGGTGTATAACACAGCCTGCTGAAACCAAGTAACAGATTAACTATAAATTCGAAGTGGCTTTTTTCTCCTTCACATGTTTACAGGCAGTGTAACATTTGTACATATTTTTTTTTTTTTCCATCAGTTAACAGCTTCTGTTGGCTGGGAACAATTTGTGCAGGGGATTCAAGGTGACTAAAACCTAATTTCAAAAAAGAGTTTCCATTTAACCAAGTAACAGATTAACTATAAATTCGAAGTGGCTTTTTTCTCCTTCACATGTTTACAGGCAGTGTAACATTTGTACATATTTTTTTTTTTTTCATCAGTTAACAGCCAGCTTCTGTTGGCTGGGAACAATTTGTGCAGGGGATTCAAGGTGACTAAAACCTAATTTCAAAAAAGAGTTTCCATTTATGTTACCATCAAGTTATACATTTCTACTCTAAATATCGCCGCTGCAAAATGTCTTTCATTCATATTTAGTACAGAAAAGGTTAACTGTGTTCTGTTATGAAGTGACAGTTTAATACCTAAGCAACTTCCAAAACTATTTTGATCCAGCTTATCCATTTAATACTTTTGAAAGGAAAAAGGAGAGGGGAGATAAAGAGTTTTAGCCTTACAATATCAGGGCTTCTGATGTGGAAATTTTAATAATAGAATTTTGTTTCAATATTGATATCTAAAGCTGATTATAAAACTATAAAATCTATCAAACTGTGGAAAATTTTGAAGGAGATGGGAATACCAGACCACCTGACCTGCCTCTCAAGAAACCTGTACACAGGTCAGGAAGCAACAGTTAGAACTGGACATGGAACAACAGACTGATTCCAAATAGGAAAACAAGTACATCAAGGCTGTGTATTGTCAACCTGCTTATTTAAATTATATGCAGAGTACATCATGAGAAACGCTGGACTGGAGGAAGCACAAGCTGGAATCAAGATTGCCGAGAGAAATATCAGTAACCTCAGATATGGAGATGACAGTGAAGAGGAACTAAAGAGCCTCTTGATGAAACTGAAGGAGGAGAGTGAAAAAGTTGGCTTAAAGCTCAACATTCAGAACTGTAAGATCATGGCATCCGGTCCCATCACTTCATGGCAAATAGATGGAGAAACTGTGGAAACAGTGGCTGACTTTATTTTTTGGGCTCCAAAATCACTGTAGATGGTCATTGCAGCCATGAAATTAAAAGTTACTGAAGGAAAGTTATGCCCAACCTAGATAGCATATTAAAAAGCAGAGACATTACTTTGTCAACAAAGGTCCATCTAGTCAAGGCTGTGATTTTTCCAGTAGTCATGTATGGATGTGAGAACTGGACTATATAGAAAGCTGAGCGCTGAAGAATTGATGCTTTTGAACTGTGGTGTTGGAGAAGACTCTTGAGAGTCCCTTGGACTGCAAGGAGATCCAACCAGTCCATCCTAAAGGAGATCAGTCCTGGGTGTTCATTGGAAGGACTGATGTAGAAGCTGAAACTCCAATACTTTTGCCACCTGATGCAAAGACCTGACTCATTTGAAAAGACCCTGATGCTGGAAAAGATTGAGGGCAGGAGAAGGGGACAACAGAAGATGAGATGGTTAGATGGCATCACCAACTCAATGGACATGGGTTTGGGTAGACTCCGGCAGTTGGTGATGGACAGGGAGGCCTGGCAAGCTGCAGTTCATGGGGTCACAAAGTCGGACACAACTGAGCGACTGAACTGAACTGGGTTACAATCTGACTTTTGCTTTGGATAAATGACTTTTCCTGTCAATATTAGTACAAGTATTACTGAAATGTTTCTTTTTCAGTCCTTTACTCATCCATAAGTTAACTACACTAACAGGGTTTTTTTGTTTCTTTGTTTTTGTTACTCCATTTTAATGGTATTATAGTCAGTTTGAATTGTGAAAAACATGATGTTTGTGAAATATTATCATGAGTATAAAAGAAAAAAATGTTGAACAACTTTTTAGTCTAGTATTGAAGAGTGATTTTAATGTTGTAATTTATCAAATTGTACTAGTTTGATAAGACATAACATTTAATTTGCCTGTATTTCAGGATCAGCTGTTTTGACTCTCCTGTTGGCTGGCTATTTGGCACAACAGTATTTACCATTGCCTACTCCTAAAGTGATTGGAATTGACCTTGGCACTACCTATTGTTCAGTCGGGGTGTTTTTTCCTGGGACAGGAAAAGTAAAGGTCATTCCAGATGAAAATGGTCATATCAGCATACCCAGCATGGTATCCTTCACTGATGACGATGTTTATGTGGGGTATGAAAGCTTAGAGCTTGCAGATTCGAATCCTCAGAACACAATATATGATGCTAAAAGATTCATAGGCAAAGTTTTTACACCTGAAGAACTGGAGGCTGAAATTGGGAGATACCCATTTAAGGTGAGTTAAGCTGAAATGTATTTTTAGTTCAGCACACTGTTTCAATTGGTTCTTTGACTTCAAGTTACAAAAATTTGTATTTCAATGGACTCAGTTTGTATGGAAGTTATATTATCTCATACAACAAGCAATGCCACAGCAGCTCCTGGGTTGGTTAATTCATTGGTCCCACAACACTGTTGAGGACTTAGGACACTACCATCTTCTCACTCTGCCATCCCCACAATGCACTGTTCTTTTATTGTAGCAGGTGGCTAATGAAGTCACATGTACCTACAGATAGATGGATGGATAAATAGATACTCTGTGTGTGTGTGTATACATATTTGTATATAGAAAAAGAGATCATACTAGGCATGCTGTGTTTTGACTTCTTTGAAACTCATCAATATATCATATATATAGTTTTACATCATTATTTTTCATGGTTGTGTGGAACAACTGTTCCACCATTTAATTGTCCAGTCTCTATATGTTTTATTTTTTCCCTAGTTTTCCACTATTATTGAAGCTTCAATGAATATCATTGTTCGTACATGTGTATTTTTATATTTGTTTGATAACTTCCTAAATTTGATAGGCCAAATGGTTGTATGTTTTTAAGGCTTCTGATTTGTATTGCCAACTTTGGGCACTGAAAAGTTTACATGCTCTTATCTATTTTTCAGACTGCCTATGTCTTCAGTAGTTATTATTTTTCAGTCTTTGCCAATAGATAAGTAAAAAATGGTATCTGGTAGTAATTTGCATTCCTGTGATTTCTAGTGAAGTCAGACTTTAAAATCAGTTTATTTTGCATTTTTCTTCAGTGATCCTTTTCTCACCCTTTGTCCCATTTTCTTTTGAGATGTTTATCTTTTTTGAATGACTATAAAAATACATTTGTGGCATTTAGTATCCCCCCCTTTTTTTAACTAACTGATGTATAATTTTGTTTTTTAACTGTCAAGAATATTAGATTTTTTTTTGTGGTAAAATCCTCTCATTAATTCCTTGAAAATGTTTTTAGAGTCTTATGCTACTTACAACAGCCTTTCCTATCCTATTCACTTGTAGTTTTTTTCTAATGCTTTTAGATAAGTATTTGTAGGCTTGGGTTTTGCTGGGCTCTTTCTCTTAAATATTTAGATATTTATGTAGGGTTTTTATTTATTTATTTATTTATTTTTTGGTACATTATGAAATAGGATTCTAATAGTTTTGAAATTAGATAATTGTATCAGTGCTGCTTGTTGAATAACCCATACATAAAAGCTCTGAAATTTTTATTCATTTTTTCAGAGGAGAAAAAAATTTCTCCAGGTATGTATTTGGTTTATTTCTTTGCTTTTCTTTTAATTTTTTGTTAAGTTCAGTTCATTTCAGTCGTTCAGTTGTGTCCGACTCTCTGTGAGCCCATGAACAGCAGCACGCCAGGCCTCCCTGTCCATCACCAACTCCTGGAGTTTACCCAAACTCATGTCCATTGAGTCGGTGATGCCATCCAACCATCTCATCCTCTGTCGTCCCCTTCTCCTCCTTCCCTCAGTCTTTCCCAGCATCAGGGTCTTTTGTTAAGACCCTGTATTAATTTGTAATTTTTCTTTTGTAATGATAAAATTGTATAAAGCTATACATTTTCCTCTAACTTGAAGCTTTGGATACATTACTTATGATCCTGGAGTTATTTTAAGGTTTTTTGTGTTTGGGTTTT